GGACACTGAACGTCAAGGACAGCAACCGCCGACGGCACAGAATCCTCATCTAGAAAATCCACAGATGCTGGAACAACAGGTTCATCAGAATGATGCGAAGTGAGTGGAGAAGGAAGGGGAGCCCGAGAAAGGGCATCAGCATCAGCCATAGAACTCCCTGGGCGATGAATAACATCGAAATCATATATCTGAAGCTTCAAAGCCCATCGAGCCGTACGACCAACCAGGTTCTTCCGCTTCAATAATGAAGTAACAACAGCATGGTCACCTTCAAGTAACGTCCGAGAACCATGTAGATATGCATGAAGTTTCTCGAAACCCCAGACTGCTGCTAAACACTCCTTCTCCGTCGTGGAGTAGTTCATCTCCGCTGGTTGTAATGTACGGCTTATGTATGCAATGGGATGGCGCTGACCAGGCACACTCGAGCTCTCTTGCATCAACACACCTCCAAGACCAATGTCAAAAGCATCCACGCGCAAAATAAAAGGTCTAGTGTAATCAGGATATGCCAAAACCGGAGGAGTTATCAATAACTCTTTGAGATCCACGAACGCCCGCTCACAATCCGGAGACCAGATGAAAGATGACGTTGATGACTTTAGCAACGTTCGCAATGGTGCAGTGCGATCGGAAAGATGATCCACAAAACGACCAAGATACTGCACCTTACCCAAAAAGCGCTGCACATCATTCACACACTTCGGAGTAGGGAACTTTAGAACAGCCACAAGTTTATCAGGATCAACTTGCAAACCCTCATGAGAAATACGGTACCCAAGATAAGTTGTGTCCTTGGACCCAAACACGCACTTCGACCGCTTCAGCTTTAAACCAACGTCGCGTAGCCGATCCAACACTTTATAAACATCACGAACGTGCTCCTCCCACGTCCCCTCCGAGTGGATCAAGACATCATCAATGAAGTCAGCAGTCACCTCCGGCATATCGCAAAGAACCTCGTCCATCATCCGCTGGAAAGTTGCTGGAGCATTGTTCAAACCAAACGGCATCACCAAGAACTCGTACAACCCAAATGGTGTACGAAAAGCAGTCTTAGGAATATCTTCTTCGGCCATCGGTACTTGCCAATACCCAGAAGCAAGATCTAGCTTGGTGAACCAACGACTTCGCCCCAGACGATCCAAGAGATCAGCAGTGTGAGGAAGAGGATACACATCTGGGATCATCACTTCGTTTAATGGACGATAGTCGATGCAGAAACGAATACTCCCATCAGGCTTCGTCACAAGATGAGGTTCACATGCCCAAGGACTCCGCGACTTCCGAATAACACCCTTTTCCAGCATTTCCTTGACGTTTGCTCGTAAAATTTTGATCTCCTTAGGTGACCGACGACGAACAGGAACCTTGATTGGATGAGCATCCCCGGTTGGAATTGGATGACGTGTGGCAATCTTGGCTCCAGACGATAGGTCAAATTCAAAGAGATCAGAATACTCCTTCATGAGCCGGTCAACTGTTGCAACACAAAGATCGTCGGAGGGATCGGAAAAGGGAAAAGCAGAACAAGATGGAAACACAGAAGGAAAGAGTGGGGAAACAAAAGTAATGGAAGCAGAGGTAGAAGTAGAGGGACGAAGAGGTATGGAAGTGAGAGGAATGGATGAAACATAAGGAAGTATAAGACAAGGGGGAGAAGCCTCAAAGTCACACTTGGCATGATTGCGCTGCAACCAATCCATACCAAGAATGAGGTCAAAAGCTTGACTCGGCACCACCCGCAACGACTGCAACTCAAGCTCGAGATCGCCCACACGCACAACCAGGTCCACCTCATCCCGTGCACATGCATGTGTACGGCCGTTGCCATAAAGAATGAAAACTAGTTCTGCCGCACGACGCAAGTGTAGACGACAACGTGTGACAACAGGTCGAGCAATAGAAGATAAACTCGAACCTGTATCAACCAACACGGAGAGAATAATAGGAGACTTCTTGTTATAAAAACGAGCTTGGAAAGTAAACACTGGATGAACTGGTGCCGAGTGAACCCCTTGATGATACTCCCGAAAGAAAGATGGAGGAGTCACTGATTTATTCGCGCAAGGTCCCTCCATTACTCGCGTGACTCCTCATTTCCCGGATATATCTCGGTGTCCAGACCTTCCACTGCAGCAGCACCCAGGGGACGTTGCTGACGCCAAGGTCTCCACCCAGGAAATGGAGGTCGCCAATCTGGAAAACGACGGCAATGCCGATAAGTATGACCAACTTCATCACATGCCCAGCAGCGAACATCACAGCCACGATCACGTCCTCGCGCTTGTCCTTGGACTCAAGCAGCAGCAGCATCAACCTCCATTGGAATAGGACCATCACCCATAGGAAGTGGAGCGGAAGGACATGCAGCGAGAAGTGGAAGAAGCGACGTCTCATAACGTTGTGCCAAGCGAAGAGCATCGTCAAGGGTGGCAGGAGCAAGTGCATGCACAAGTCCGACAAGATCTTGACGAAGTGCTGGCCACAACATTCCTAGCTTGATCCGCTCCGACATATTTGGCTCCGCACGAAGCAAAAGACTTCGGAAACGAACGCCAAATTGCATCACCGACTCCAATGGCCCTTGGCGAAGACGATGCAATTGTTGGAAAGCATCATCACAATTATCGGCATGTCCGAAGGCGCGTTTGAAGACGTCTGGGAGAACACTCCAATCCCCACGAGTAGCTGCGCTCAAACCATTGTACCACTGCAATGCCGTCCCTTGGAGACACGTGGGAAACTCACGCAACCGTCGAGCATCATCCCAAGAATGATATGTGGCAATCACCGTAAAGTGATTGAACCAATGGTACACATCATCCTCAGGATTCCCGCGAAAGAACTCCGGCCGAACATGAGGATTGGCACCAAGAGCAGGAGGAGTTGTACCACGTGCCGTGAACGCCGCCATCAACTGAGTTTGGTTGTTCAATTGCAAGCGCATAGCATCAAGCAATTGAACCAACTGCTACTCTAGAGTTAAAGGAGGAGATTGCGGATCGGCCATGAAGATGAATGAAAAAGAAAGAGCAAAAGAAGAGAAATGACAAAAAAGCTGGAAAGAAATTGTAGATCTAGACAATGCAAAAAGCTGGATCGAAACCAAAATCCTGAAAGGAAAGAACAAAAGAAAGGAAATGGAAAAAACTAGATCTAGACAATGCAAAAGCTAGATCTAAACCGAAATCCCAAATCCAAGCACTCCCCAGGGACAATCAAAGATGCACCTCATCTCTACCAATGTGAGTGCATGGAATATGAAAAGGGAATACAGAAATGTGCATATCAATTAGCCCAAAAACCCTAGCTTATATACAGAAGCGAGTGGTCCGGATTGAAACCAATCCGACGGCTATCAAAATCCACTACGCTAATATTAGTATACGGCATCGTAGCCGTACATTTGGCCCTCACAGCTATAAATTTCAAGGTTAAGTATTTCTGAATATTGTTTATGCATACTTATTTTACAAAATGATAGTCATCTTGTATTATATACAAAAAATATAATGTGGTCTACTAAAACTTTTATATTCCCTGTCTTTTACAATACAAAATGATTGTAATATGGTCATGATAAATCTTTAAAATATATTAACGAGAAATTAAAAAATAAAACTTTTTGACTTTCCAGGAAGGATGAAGCGTAATCCAGAGTTGGTCAATTGGTTGGATTAATCCAGGACTGGAGATTATGGGCCCTTGGACCTTCAGAGATTATCAGTTCCATCGGGCCAGCCTCGTAATTACTATGGACCCAGAGGGCAAAGCTAAGCGTGAGGACCTGCAAAGTTTGCCTGCAGCAATCTTCATGATGGCGACACTGCTCAACGTGATCAAGGATATGATCGGCTTTGCAGACCCAATCTCCTGGCGTCCAGTGTCTGGTCATCACCCCTGTCGTCCTGCTGCTCAGCTCACGCACGCGCACAATCGACCGGAACTGGCTGGCGTCCCTCCTCCAGCCCCCGCTATTCTGGCCAGGCTAAATAGAAACTGTTTAGATTCATTTGTGCCCACAGTTTCCTTGAGCCAGCCTCGGTAGCCAGGATGCTAGCGGGATGTAATCAGCAGCGCCGAGCATTTCAGCAGAGTTGACATCGATCTTGCAGTAGCACGGCGGAATGGCGTCGAAGAAGCTCGATATGGTCGCACTGCATTGCGGCGCGAGCAGAGAAGAGGCAATCTTTGAGGCGATCAAGCTCACGAGTCTAAGGTTCACTTAGCCGCTGTAATTATGGTCATGCCGCTGGAGGTAGCAGAAGTGGTTACGGCGATCTCTTATTTCCAAAGTACGCAGTTTGTTCTATGCGAGCTGGAGGCCACTGAGCAAGTGGATCTCCTGGATTTTGTGGGGTTGTGATGCTGGCATCTTGCATGACAATTGGCCTTTATTGGCAGGGGGAAGATCCAAGTAACTTAACTAAGTATAGAGTGAGACATGGAGTTTGCATTGTCCAATACTTCCATGCGAGGCCATTACGAGCCACAAGGTGGAACTTACTGTCAATCAGCGTTACCTCAACCTCAAGAAGTATTGCAAACCACGTCCCAGGAGATTGGTGGTGAGTTTCCTCAAGAAGTGTTTAAGCAAGGTGGAGGAGCCACCTGTTGGGGACAAGCCCAAGATGTAGGTGGTGCCAGCGTTTCCTCAGAAGTTTTTGCCCAAGGTGGAGGAGATATGCAAGCCACTTGGCAGGCCCAAGACTTTGCTGATATCTTTATTGACGTCGAGGTCTTCGCTAAATTCATGGAAGGCCAGAAGTAAACTACAAGTGAATTGGATTACTAAATCGGATTACAAGTGATTGCAACCAAACTTGATGAAGGAACTAATCTCGTTGAGGTCTCCCAAATCGCGCTCTTGCCTGCTCTTCATTCCAAGCGGATGGCACGTTCAACAGGGAAGGAACCTAGCCATCTTGTTTCTCCGCCTCGAGTCATCGTTTAGAAAAGAGAAGTATTCGAGTTCCACTCGAATATTCGAATCTATGTTCACAAGATTCTCCACTTAAATTCAAACCAACCGCGCTCTTTCGCGCTCTTCTTCCATGGCATCTCGGGTCTCAAGCCCGCGGCACTCGGTGTCTCCCAAGCGAGGCTTCTCCGTGCTGGGCCAAGTGAGAAGCGTGAGCAGGGATGAGATCCGGCAAGAAGCTCTCCACGACCCATTCCTCGAGGTGTATCGATCCGAAAAGAGGCCCCTCTCTCCCCGGAGCCTCACGCACTCCCCCTCCAAGGAGCTCACCTTCATCGCCATCAGCAAGTACACGGCCCCGGATGGCAGCGACGATCTCCGATCGCTGGGCCGGAGCGTCACCACGCTCCAGGAGCGAGTGGAGGTCCAGGCCAAGGAGCTCGAGGCACAGGCGGCGATCCTGGAACAGCAGAGCCGGGAGATTAAAGAGCTCCAGCCCATGAAGGAATGGTTCCAGAAGCAAAACATGGAGCTCTACTGGTCGAAAGTTGGCTCACCGCGAGGAGTGGCAGCGTTTGAGATCCTGGCCGAGGTCCGCTCCATGCTGTCCAGAGTCATGCACAACCACATCTCGTCAGTCATCGAGACTATCCAGAGCGAGGGCAGTGGCGATTCAAGCGAGCAAGCAGTCGTGTGCGAAGAGAATGCTGCTGCAAGCAGCGCGAGGAGGGGGAGCAAACGCGAGCGTCGGGAGCATGCTGATGCATACAGGCAGCTGTTTGGGAAAGGGCCATTCCGGAACAAGAAATTCAAGCACGGGACTTACGAGGACTTACTGATGCATGTGGTTGCCAAGGAATCCGCCAACGAGGCTGTGGATCCAGCCTTGACTGATGCGCTCGAGGCGGCGGAGGCAGAGTTCTATCTGGAAGCCAGTGAAGCCGGCTATGACATGCAAGACGTTCAGTATATAAGAAGCAAGATGGCTAAGTTCCTTACCTGTGAGAGGAAGAAGCGGAATGAAGCGTGCCATCCGCTTGGAATGAAGAGCAGGCAAGTCAAAGAAGAAATCGTCGACGATATAGAGCGCGCTTGCGATTCTAAAGACCTGGGAGACCTCAACGAGATTAGTTCCTTTATCAAGTTTGGTTGCCTGCTCTTCAGGCGCCACAATCACTTGTAATCCAATTTAAAAGTGCCTCAATGAAGAGTGGTAGTAGCAGAAGGAAGACGAGGGCGAATTACATTTAGAGCACCTCTTGCAGTCGACTGTAGACGCAAAATTTGCACCTCCGTAAGTAAGAGTTTGAAAAGAATAGCCTACCTCAAAGAAAGAGTTGTAGTTTAAACGTAGAAGAAACTGCCTCAAGAATGGTGCTCGCTGGCTTCCTGCCAGTTTACTACTTCGCAAAATTGTGTAAAGAGAGTTCGACTTCTTGTTGAACTCCTGAACAAACAAACATTGCGATTATCAAAACTTCCTAATTTTAAACAAACTTACCTCCGTTATTTGATCCAGCTCAGCAGCTGTAGAACTCGAAGTGGCATCTTGATGTTCCATGATGCGGCACAACTGCAGGCATAATTTGATGATGCTATCCAGTATCCTAGACACTGAACCAATATCTAGAAAAGACTGAGATATTAAAGCTGACAAGTACCTGCAGAAAGATCAAGCTAAAAACATTTCAGAATCTGCAAAGAACGTTACTCTTGATGAAATCGAGCCAATTCTGTAAAATCTTTTGATGCCTGAACGCGCTCTTGCAGCAAATTCCATTGAGACTCGATGACATCCACCTGAGCGAATTAAGAACATTTCGATCATGAGTTCTGTTGAATCTCTTACCTGTATGTAGAACTGTAGATTTGTTATCAAGTAGGCCATATGTTGTCGAAGCCTCCAAGTAGGCATACCCGAAACTTTGGGATCATCCTTCTTGTGGTTTTTCTGACGGCCTCGGGATTCCCTTCGATCACGCTGCATGGCTTTTGCCCAAGATTTCTCGAGCTCAAGCTGAATCCGCTTCAAACGAAGTAGATACTGGAACACCTTGCTGTATCTGCAATAAACCTTGTAAGACCGTGAAAGATGTTATAGGACCTACTTGGCCAAAACTTCTCGATTGAACAGAAGCTGCAGCGGCCAGTCGATGCTATATTCCAGCGCAATGCCATCCCACCCATCATAAGAAGGTCCAACCGCAACGTCCGATAGTGCATCGATGCTGGACCTTTGCTTGACCTCCACCTGTGAAGGAGGGAGTCCAGAGTTTGCTAACAGTGGCATCCTGGACATGGTTAAACACGTTAACAAGCACCAGCATCAATTAAAAGCTTTACCTTAAGGTAACTCGCGAGAAGTACTTGTCCTCGTCGCCTATTGTCTTTACTGCAGCCTGTGCCGTGATTTTAAACATTATTGATTGCAAAAGATGTTTTCTAATACCTGCTGAAAAGGTGCTTTGAGATCTGCCTCTGCCGTCGATGGCCTAGGAGGAAGCTTCATCAAAGATCGGCTCTCTTCCAGAAAACACTGCCAATCAAACAGTCAGTACGAAGGCAATACATTAGCTCACGTACCTGGAAAAAATCTCCCTTAGCAAGAAGAAAATAGTCTTTGAAGGCTTTCAAATGGCCAACCAAATCCGCGTGAACTACCACAAGCTGCAAGAACCAGATAAAAAAGGACAACTTGGATTGAAAAAACTACTCATACCTTCCAAAGATGTGTGGCCGCGATAGTGCGTATAGAATCAATAGAACGTTCAAAAGAAAGTTTGTGGAATAGTGGTCTTTCCTAAAAAAGTAAACCATCAAGCAATGGGGAAAACTGGAGTAATGGCAAAAGTACCTGAAGCTCGCGAAGCAGTGAGCCAATCTTTTCAGCCTCTTCTTTAGGTAGAAGTTCAGGTCCTTCGTACGCTCCACTGAATGAGTACTGTTTCGTAAAAGACGACGAAGCACTTGGATTACGAAGAACTCTCACTGCTTTGCCGACAAATAAAATAGACTCCGCTACTGGTAATTGGATGTAATCTGGTAGCATGTCCTATACAAATTACAAGATATGTGACAGTCGAACACAAGACGCTATAATGCATACCAGTCGAACACAATATCCGGTGTGCCAGTCGATCATATTGGCATCTTCAGTGCCACGCCCAGACTTGGATTTATTTGCTGGTGGCTCGGACGCATCTATGTCCGCTTTCGTCTGCTCGTCTTGAGTCCTGCCAGTAAAGAATCAGAACGTCATTGTGAGTAGCACAAGAATACCTGCTTATAAAAAACTCTTGATTTTGATCCTGAAGAAGACCATATACCATCCACCCCGAAAGCTGGCGATACATAACCTGGTGTGCTTGCCATAGTAATCTGTAAAACGAAACAAAAGTAAAGCGAAAACCTCTTCCTCAAAACTATTTCCCTCACCTTTGGATCCATGTCTGGAGTTCCGGGATGCCGCAGTGAGACCTTTCATGCAAAAAATTTAAGAGCTTTCCACCCCTTAGCTTCTTTGATTCCACCTCTCGGACCAAAGCATGTAGTGGAGGCAACAACAAATCAAACTGCTCTAAAGTCAGACGACAAGCAAAAACCAAAGAGACAAAGTTCCTACTTGCTTGAGGCACTGGGTGACGATGGCCAAAACCGGCAATGGATCAGCCAGAATATTTTTCTCCAGCGTAAGAACTGCCGATCGATACTTGGCAAGAACCTCGGTCACTCCATTCGCCACTGCTCTCTGGTAGACGCTGTGCTGCTGGACGACAGCCTTGGAATCCTGGAGAGCTCCAATCCAGCTAAGATTTCGCGACTTCAACGCGAAGCGATCCAGCTCCCGGTAGTAAAACCCCAGCCGTAGCAGCCGCTCGAGAATTTCCCTGGATTTTCAGCGATCAAGGCAAAGAACACAAGATTTCTCCGCACAAACCTCTCAGACGGCCGCAAGAACTGAAGATCCGGCGCAATCCGGAACGTACATTCATCGCTGCTCGCCCCGTCAGGATCATCCTGTGCGTAGTGCCTGCTACCGTCCTTGAATCCAAGGCGCCGATCCTCCTCGTCAGCATCGATGAACACATCGCCAGTGCATCCGACCAGCGCTAGCAGGAGCTCGTGAAGCATTCTTCAAGCAAGCCAGTCCCAAAACCCTAGAGCGTAAAGGCTAATTAAAAATAAAACGATTTTGAGCTTTGGCTTATTTTTAAACTGACTTTGCCTCGTCAAATACTTTGTCTATAGGTGAAGTGACTAAAACTCGAGGAGAAATATGGACATGAATGTGTGCCTATCAATTGAAGGATATCTGGATCGATCAGTCAGACCTGCTGTTTTTATGATCTATGTGTCTTGATTTTGGAATTTCACCTGACGTGGGAGTTGTAGATTGTGTATAATTAGCAGAAAGAAAGCAATGTTGTATATGAATACCAAATGCAAATTCTCAAAGAAGAGATTAATCTTGTGTTTATAAATTATATACATGTTTATAATATATTGACAGTTAACACTATTTTCTGAAATTAATGATTAATGAGATTTTGATTATTTTATTCAATGATAAGATCTGGATTGAATTAATAAAAAATATACTACAGTATGATTAAACAAGAATTGAAACAAATAATGGCACACAAATGAAGTTCTGCTGCAAAGCTCAATAATTTATTACTAATTTAACATTATAGTTTACAGTAATTAATTTGAATATATTGAGAATTTATATATATATATATATATATATATATATATATATATATATATATATATATATATATATATACCAAAAATAAATTTAAAAAATTATTTATCATAGAGTCTTGGACTTGCTTAAATGCTTCTTTGGCACTTGCCCTAAGATTGAGATAGAGTAGCATTAGAACAAACCATAGATCTCTATCAAATAATGCAGAAGAACAACTAAAAAACCAACTTGGTCTTGTTTGGCGTAATCACAACCATTACTCAAGAGCTAGGGACTACTAGGCAATCTTATGACTCTTTCAAAATGTTGAAATCAAGCCAAATATAGTTCTCTTCAACAATCTTGATTGACAAGCAAAAAAAGTCACACTTGCCATAGATGATAAGCTATTGCTTAAAGCCATTAAAGATAACTCTTAACATCCTCATCAACAAATATATCAATGTTAGTGTGCTTGACAAAATCTCAGAAGTTTACAACGCTATCAAGTGGAAGAAATGGAAGTTTGATATCCTCATTTGCAACATGCACTCAAGTTGTGTATGCAGAACAATAACATATATAAAGTCAAAAGCTTGAGTGAAGATATGGAGAGGGAGTAATTATTAAATTGTATGATTTACAGGATATCTATGCAATTAAAGGTATAATGGCCATTGTAAATAGCCAAAGAGAAAAACCTAAGAAAGACCTATCAAGGTTTACTAATAGAGGGAAATGGCGTATGAACAAAAGTTCACCTTTTTCCAAACTGATTAAAGGTTTTAACATTATAAAAACTATGTGATTATTAATTTAAATAATACTAAAATGAATGAATTTTTAAAAAGTCCAAAGTAAAGAGCTTATATCTAGTATTAAAGAAGTTTTAAATTTGACTCTATTAGTTGGCTAAAAGAATCACACTATATACGTTAGCACCCCAATGGTAGGAAGAACTTTAAACCTACTTGAGACGATCTTCAGATGAAACCCATCTTTGTGCCGATGATTTTCATCAGCGCTCGTGGGTCAATAAAACCTCGTCGTGGTGCTCTGCTTGATCTGCCAGAGGAAGGAAGCATTTCTCTATCTCGCAAGAAAAGGAAGAGAAGCAAAGGATTGATTGTATCCTAGCTTGCCAATAATGTAGGAGTTCTTAGCGCAATCGCTTGCTTCTTCCGGGATGCATTGTCATTACCTGCGGTGTCTTCCCAGCAAGTCACAAGAGATCGCCGCTCTCTCGCCTCAAGGATTTAGCAATTTAATTTATTTTACCTGAGCTAAACCTAAGTAGTAGAATATATTAAAAAAAAAAAGGGTTTCTTAAGAAAGCCATGGGTAGATTCTATTTACAAAAACATGAACTTGCAAGAAAGTGTAAAGCAATCAAAAGGAAAAAAAGAGATTTATTAGAATTCAATAATAGAGAAAGTGTTCATAAATAAGGGTTCCAAGAAGTTTAAACTAAAAAGCTTAAAACTATGTTTGACAAGTTCAAGAACTTAGCTCATACTCCATGAGTCATAACAATTATTTCTAGCTAAAGATCCAAAATGAAGCTCTGACTTAAAAAGTCAAGAGTGGGAAGGGAATTCCTAAAGAAACATTTAAGGAGTGAATATGAAATGGTAGTTTTAAGAAAGGGATAAAAAAATAATTAATACTTAAAAATTAAACCCAAGGACTAGAAGTGGAACAATGTTAAAATCATCTTCCCCAAAGTGTGTGAAATATCAAATATATTTAGGGTAAAATATATTTGGAGTCTGATATATCTCTAAAGTGAAGCCTAAAGTAATCATCTCCCAAAACTTGAGGGGTTTGGTAAATCCTTATGAGATAATTGGGGGAGGACTCTACATGAGTCAATGTGACTAAAAGCTATTGTACTCATGCAATAGATAATGATATAAATATTAAGGAGTCCAAAGTTAAAGTGAACTTTTCACTCTTATAGGTGAAAGTAAATTAAATGTATAATTCCCAAAAGCACTAATGCACAAAGCTCAATGGATTCAATATATCATTGCAATTGCAATTGCTTGTTCCTAATGACCTATCCTTCCACTAATTGTTATATGGTGAGGAAATCTCAAAAGTTAATATGACTTAGTAGACAAGTCTTCAAGCATGGCAAATATTAGTGAGAATTATCTTAATTGGAAAGGAATTTAGTGGAATCAAGGAAAATACATTGGAGGATAGTGATTTTCTACATCTTAAAGCATTCTAAATATGCTAATTAGTGGTCATAAGATGGCCATTCATAAAATAGATTGGAGGGATGGGTTTGTGGTAATGGATTACTAATGAGATAGTGACAATGAACATGGCTTTAGTGTAAAATGTTGATATATTATTAATACTTTTAAGTGTTTGAGGTGGGATTTAGACACATGGAATATTTAAACTATATGTAGAGTTAATGTGAATTTGAAGCTAACTTTAAAGTCATATTAATGACTCTAAGTTGGGATGAGGATTTATAAAGGTTGTGAATGAGATTCCTAAACTGTAGATAAGTGACTAAAGTAAAATAGAAAATTTAATCACTTACATTTACATTGATGTGGCAAATAAATTAATGTGAATTACAATATTATGGCACATAAAGAATTAATATTTAGTATTAATGTGTATAAAAACTAAACATATATTGATATATAAGCCAAGTTTATATATACCTTGATAACAAAGTTGCGACCAACATTATTTTCTGAATTATGCGTTTAAATAATTTAAACATACATTCTATTCCAATATGATTGAATTATTTACTACACTAGAACATCTATATACCTCCACTAAACACATAATCATCATTTGATTATCATAATTTTTTTATAAATATATAAAAAAAGTTATAATCCATTTAAATATTATCTATATTGATACAATATACTTGTCATTTTATCAAATACTTTTTAGTTTTGGTTATCTTTTCTCCTTTAATCCATCATGCTATCTATTATAGTGGTAAGGGCATGTAGCAAAAATAAATAAATAAAAAATTTGGCTTAAATAGTTTTTATAAATTAATTTAATAATTTATATATTATTATCTTTATAATATTTATCATGATTATAAGTATTACCATATTATAATATTTTTTATTATAAGAAAACTGAATAAAAAATTATAATTTTTTTACTGGACCACATTCAAAATAATTTTACTCTTAATTAAGTCCTTCAAATTTGCACATGCATACTTTCTAAAAGCTTTAGTTTATATTTTATATTATTTATTCACTCAATAATTTTGAATGGCTAGGATTATTAAATTTATTATTTTTTGACCTATTTGAAACTTAAAACTTATGTACAATAACCCTAGAATTGTAACTTTACACATCCTTAGATCCAAATCTTGTATTCTTTTACTTTAGCATCAATTCTCACCTCAGATAATGTCCTGACCACACTATTTTATCCACATAAAATCCTAATAAAAGCATATAGAACCCTAACTAAGTAAAAAAAATCTTTTTGTGGTATTGTCACATTTAAAACTTTCTAACTCATAAAAAAGAAACTAGGACATATAATTCAATGACTCTTTAGTAGCAAAGCTCATTAATGAAAGTGTATTTTCTCCCCAGGTCATAAATTTTAATTTATTCCTTTAATAATGGAAAAACCATTGGGATCTTAGTGATCTTTTCCTTTGGCAAAAACGATTCTAAAGTGGTGATTCATTTGATGAAGATTTGTAGTTGGCTTTTGATTCGTTTTCATAATATATGTATATATTAATTTTTTAATAAATAAATATTTTTATTTTATTTAATGGATATCAAGAAATAAATATGGAAATCATATAAATCTTTTATCTTGATAAAGTTTTCTGAAACTGTATAAAAATATATTGTTGGTGGCGTATTTGTTATAGTGATGGCGTTTGGTGCTCGTGCACTTGTGAGGAAATTGGGGATGCATTGCTGAAATTCTCTCAAGAAAAATACTAATAATAGTTTTGATTGAGAATGTTAAAATATATAATATTAAATTATTAATATTATAAAAAGTATCAAAATTTTAATTTTAAATTCACTATTTTGACTGAAAGCAAAGACTTTTTAGAATAAAAAATCAATTTAAATAATTTTTTAAAATTTAAGTAAATAACTATTTTGTGTAATCCTTAAGTATAAAGGCCAAATTCAAATCTATATACGTATAAATTGAGGTGCACTATATTAGATGTGATTGTTATTGAAAATTTAGACTTTAGTCTCAAGTTTATTATGATTTTCATCATTACCATATTTATTTATATAAGGTTCTATAGTAGGGATAGTTGTCAGAAGTATAGACAACCACCTAAAACATGTGTTACTCCTTATTCTACATCCAACTTAAGCTTAAGTCTGTAAAAAACTAACTCACCGAAATGTTATAGGCTAGAGGATCCCTTAAAATCACAATTAAAATAGTAAAGAATTCATTGAATAAAACCAAGTCCAAAACTGAGTTTAAGATTGTGTCCAAAATTGAATTCAAGACTATATCCAAAATCAAGTCCAAATTCAAATCTAAGTTGAGTCTAAAGTCTAAAATCAAATCCAAGATTTAAGATTAAGTTTGAGACTAAGCTTTTTTACTGAATTCTAAAACCAATGCTGAATACAAGTACTAATATAGGTTATGGGTTAAAAGCTCAAAGTGATCATCCTTCTAAAAGGGAAGGATGCAAAAAGTTCCAAAAGTATAATAAAGATAGTGAAGCTAAAGACCTAGTATTAGAAACTTTTCCAATTATATTTTAAAATCGAGTTGGGATTGAAATTAAGGGTGAATAACATTGGGTTGGGATTGAAATTAAGGGTGAATAACATTGGGTAGGAATGAGCATAGGCTTGAGAAATGCTAAAGAAGCTCCCAGAAAGGAAATTGATAACAGTGCTCCCAACTTAAATGGTGTGGTGCCCCACTTTAGTACCATGAAAAACACTCTTTTCCATACACTCAACTTAAAAAATTCTTCTAGGGCAATGGGGACGTTTTCAGTGCTGAGAGATGCGACTGCACAACCAGCTCGAAATCATGATGATGCAAATTGAGAAAGAGGATGAGGGCTGTAACATTGTGGAAGCAGGCTTTGCAGGTGTATAAAATTGGAGCACAGGTAATGGATCAAACACTTGATAACGTTGCAACTGATTGAACTTTCGTTTTACAGATTCTAAGGGACATGGGTGTTAGAATGATGAAGCTCATGACAAACAATCCAGCAAAGTATATGGCATTGAAAGGCTATGGTTTGGCGATCACTCATTTCAGTGATCTCCACTTTCACTGACGAGAACAAGCGCTACTTGGAAACCAAGCGCGAGAAAATGGGCCATGTCTATGGCTCGGACTTACTGGGGACTTTTACTGTGCTCATTGCTGACAAGGTAAATGGGAAGAAAAAGAGCCAAAATTCTCTTTAACAATACGTCGAGTGTTCGAATCTCGGCAATTATCAAATTCTCTCCAAATTTGCAAGCTTGAAATTTCCGAACATGAAAAACTTTCCCATTGAGAGAGCAGCCTTACCTCTAAATCGTGCAAATCCAGAGCAGCTGGTTTGGAAGAAAACTGTTGGACGGCTTTCAATGTCGATGCCGCTTTTGCGACTGACAGCACCTGGAAAAACTAGTGAGAAAAACTTAAAGCCAAAGAAGATCATCCATCACTTACAAGGCTCTGGAAGAGATCGCTTCGAGCAACATGTCAGTCTCGCTGTTAATCTCTATGACCGCGGCACCTCTCTCGAAGTGTGCCAGTCCAAGCAATCCTCCCGCAGCCACACGAGAAGATTTCTTCGTCGCAGCAGCAAGACCCTTCTTCCTCGGGCATTCTCTATAGAAAAAACCAAAGAAAAAAATAATTCTCCCTTCCTTTCCACAATCTCATCGAGAGCATACCTTCGTTTCACCTGACATCCTTGATCGGCGCTCCCGTCCGCTCGCGCAGAGTCTTGATGAGGAGGAAGCATCGACCGAGAACGATTTCGATTATTCTAGGAAATCCAGGCTCCTACAAATCGCCGTCGCCGCGCGCCATTGCAAGGTAGGGCTTGGAGCTGGACCATGTGTACGCGACGCAGTCTCGGAAGTTGCCGCTATCACGGGAGAAAATGTGAGACTTCGAAGAGCTTTCTATATGTCTTCGCAAAGAGGAATCGTGTCCTCGTATTTGCACATGAGTATCAGGTACTTGTAAATTCCACTGTTTGCTCGTTTTTCACAGATTTATTATGAAAGGTTTATCTCTGCTCGCGGGGCTCGTTTCGCTCGAGGTTGAAGATGGGCTTGCGTTCGGAAACACTGAAAAGCTTGGGCTCGTCTCTTGCAATGCATGTTGTTGCTGCAAGGCCGCTGTTTTTGTCTAAGGAACTCGTGGACTCTGAAGCACTGGAGCATGAGCGGAACAGTTTTGTTGTTGCAGGCCTCGACTGCTGGAAAAAAAGGTAAGTCCTTGTTACAGTTCAAGCCTTCATTTTCCCAGGCTTGAAAAGGATTTTGCTGCCGAGGTTGCTGCTGCTGCACGATGAGAGGTTTGATATTCAAAACAAGTAGGTGCAATTGCCAAAGACGCTGGCACATTATCTTGAGGACAATGAAATAAGGAACTGGAAGGTACTTCTTTTTTGCTGGAGTTAACTCACTTAGTTCTAGCCATATGGACAGCGGTGGCAATCGTTGTTATACCAATACCAGGCACTCGGGCGGCGTCTTACACTTGCTTCCACTCCATTTTCATGCGGAGAGGCATTGATGGTTATACCAGTACCAGCCGTTGGGACACTGGATGCTTGTCGCCGTCCTAGTTCCATCCAGATTTACATTGCCGCTGGGCTGCTGGATGTCCACTCCAACCAGGAGGATTGTCACAAACATGGCCAGAAGCATCAGCTGGGACTTGATCCTGGTAAAGGAAACTTTCGAAGTGTACTCTGTCTTTTCGCAAACTTTGCTGCTCTGTGGTGAATTGGAGGAGACCATTTATAGGATGGAGGAAGTGGAGCAGCGAGTGTGCTACAGCGGCACTCCGTTTGACTATTTAGCCAGCATATTGTGCTTGACGTAGCACAAAAAGCATATGCCGAAGTTTGTAGCATCGCTTCTTGTTGATGTCTGGCGCCTTTGCTCATTGTCACTCACGAGGCGTGAATACTGTGAGGAGGACGACGGGCTCGCTCATCGTCGCCGCGCTTAAACGCCCTCGTCAACCTGGGGTTTCAAAGGAACTCGGCCATGCCAAGTGGAACCATTTCATGCGGAGAACGTAGTCGCGAGGAGGAGAAGATTCGCAGCACCGGATTGACACCCGAAACCATTCCGCGACGATAGAGGATGGAAGGATCCTTTAGCTCTTTGTTTGTTTCTAGGAAGATTACTGATACAGTTCTCTACAGATGATAGTCGGGTGCTGCAAAACTATACGTTGCTCTGAGTTTCTCAGCCAGTACCTCGGATTGAAGGCTGTACCGATACTTCGGCTGCGAGCTTCCCAACAGAACAGGACCGAGAAAGAAAGACCACTGCCACTGCTACACCTGCGGCCATTAAGGTGAGGAACTACTAAGACGAGCTTTCTTTCGGCCAGAACTCAGAGCTGTTCTTCTCCTTTTCTTCCAGGACGACGAGCGCCGTGGGGAGCATTTATTTACTATTTGTTTTATTGGAAAACAAAGGTCCAAGTCCCTTACTCTTATGGCCTGATAATCCTGGGGACCTCACGGCAAGAGCCATCAGATCTTAGCGTATCATCGTGGAAGTACTCCTCAGGCGGTAAGATAGAAAAGGCTCTCAAAACGCTCTCCTGGAGTCGCTTTGGATCCACAGGGACCTTCATCCTCCAATACCTTCTCCTCACCTGCCGCCATTCTCTCTGGCTGTAAGCAGGCGATGGAGGCTCCCATGGCCAGTCCTCACGGGTGAGCATGTACTCCATTCCCTTGAGATTACAAACTTTCAGTCACAAAAGGGGAGAAATTACAAACTTTTAACTCACCTCAGGATTAAATGGGTCGCTCTCGAGCTCTCCCGCAAAGACATGCTTTGGATCGGTAGGAGGAATGGTGTTGCAATCCCTTTTGCTGTGCCCGGGCAGTCCACACCTCCCGCACTCTCGCATGTCCCAGCTCCAAGAGTCCCTCCCTGGCTTTGCTTCAAACACGTCTAGCGGGTGGCGCTCAGGGCCCGTGTCCGGCAACGGCTTGCCGTTCATCTTCTCAATGGCCTTGCGCATGCCTCTCTCGCTGCTAAAGGTGACGAGGCCATAGCCCATTGGGACGTTTCTCTCGTCATACATTATCTAATGGAGAAAAGAAGAGAATTTCAAAGCAAAAAGGCAATGAATCTTTACCTTGGCGCTGGTGATATCTCCAAACCGGATGAATCCTTCCAGATCTCGTTGATCGGCATACCACGGCAAGCCGCCCAATGTCCTCGCTCTACAGCCCTATGTGCATGGAAAATCTAAAAAGAGGGTTGGTTATTTATAAACATGATATGCCATCGCAAGAGACTATGTTGGTTCCTCCTCCAAGTTCTTGGATCTCAAACACCGCCCTACTCAAAAGGCTTGCAAAATGGATGGCCGTCCTCGTGTGGAGCGTAATCTCTCCACACTTCATCTTCGACCTCCCTCTCGCCAGCGCCATGAAGATCACCACTTGATCCTGCAGATACTCGTCCACACAGACCTCCCCTTCGAGCTGCTTCACCATCTTCACCACCGCCGCCGCCACCAGTCCCTTCCCGGAGCTCCGCTTCCCGCCCGTCAGCGCCGACGCTCCAATCCGGTGCCCATTGCTCGTCTCTGCCACAAGCACCACCTGCATTTGGCACTTGCTTTCGCGATCCACTCTCCTGACCCTAAACTCGCTCTCCATCGCCACCGCCAACTTCCGGCAGTCCTGTATCTCCTTCGCCACCTCGGCCTCGAACGCGGCCGTACACGCCCCGGACACGTACGCCGTACACTTCGTGACGTCCCCGCGCTCGTCCAGGCACGCACCCACCAGTGGCCTCGTCAGGGGCTCAATCCTAACCCTAACTTCACCACCACCACCCGGCATGAACCCCTGCCTCTCCTCGCACACCTCCACGGCGCCCTCGGGGATGCCAAACCTCGCTAGGGCTGGCAGGAAGACGCGCTTGAGGTACTCGAAAGGTGGCGAGAATGGGACGTTGGTGCCACCCTTGAGGACGAAGGTGGAGCTGCCGGATCCAAAGAGGGCGATGGGGAGACTGATCTGAGCGAGCAGCGTGCAAGCCCCCGCGCTCTCTACGTCCGCCGTGAACTGGCCGTGTTTGATCTCGCTGCCGGGGACGATGGTCACTTGAGTGGAGTCTCGCTCCAGCCCCGTGGCTCGCGCATTGCACAGCTCCACTGCGAGCTTCAGGCCGGCCAAGTGCTGCCGCTGGAGGCCCGGCTTGGCCCTGTTACCTCGGATGTTGGTAATGTGGAGTGGAATGTTGAGAATGGCCGCAAAGGCGACGCAGTTGCGAAGGATCTGGCCGCCGCCCTCCAGTGTTGATCCATCGATGATCATTCTTGTCAAAAGCCCTAAACTTGTAAGGCCTTTTAAAGGTTAAAATTTTACCCTAATGGAAAAATAGCATCAAGTCATTGTCGTTGTAGTATAGTGGTCCTGTCACGCGGACGAGCGTCTTTAAAATTTATGTAGTCCAAATTTAATTTTGTTGCAACTTAATCTTGTTGGCTTATATACACGGTTGCTAGATCCTTCGTTTTAGACAGAGCGAGGAATGCGATAAGAAGCATACGAAGAATCTCGCTGGAGCAGTAAATCTCTTACAAGTTTGACGATCCTGGATTCACCGGGGAGTGGGCCTGTTGTCGTGGAACCAAGCCGAGTGATGCAAACGAAGCACTCGGGTTGTGACTGATCGCTTCCTCCTTGTTCTTCTTGTTCTTGAGGAGTACTTACTGGCTCTTGAATCTCGCAGGTCACTAGGAAAGAACCGATCGACTTTAAGACTCCATCGCCAGTGGAGATTAGCTTGAGTTGCACGCCATTTTCGTTCGAGTCCGCTTGGAAAGGCATCGGCAAGGGAAGCTCGCTGGACGATGCAAAGTTGATGGCCCACTCTTGAATCATAGCAACAGTCTGCCAAGGAAAGTTACTATGGAATCTAGAGAAGAAAAACCAGAAACTTACCTTTGCTTTATCTGCCAGTGCAATGCGATGGCTGAAAATCTCGGAGGTGCAAGCTTTCCCAAACAGGGGTCTCCTCCTTTCGGACTTTACGCTTCCAGCAGCGTTGGAACGCCTTGTCCCGGACGAAGCGTTGCCATTCATCCATGCAAACATGCTCCAGAACGGTCCCATTTTCAGCTTTAAATCTGCGTCCATCCGAGCTTTTCTTTGTGCTGGAGTCTCGGACATATTCAAGCTTGAATCTAGAATAGCAGTGAACTGATCAGTGAGAAGAAACTAGAAGAAAACTTTGTAAGAACTGTGCAAACCTTTATCCTGCTGCTGTGATTTGTGGTGCTGGTGCTTGAAAGCCTTTGCAGCCATGAAGATGTTGGAGGGCCTCTCCCATCCACCGCCGTATACTCCATTGCTAGGCCTCGGCTGTGGACGAATCAAATATTCATAGATAGATAGATCAGATCGCTCGACCCAGTGAATACAATTCACTGGGCAAGTTTGTATCGCCACCTTTTGCAAAAAAAAAAAAAAAAAAGACGAAAAAGAAAAACCAAGCTTTAAGAAAAGAAGAAGATAAGTTTCACTTACTTTGACAGTCTCGTCCGAATCACCCCATTGTGCTTTGACACGGGCACAACCAGTGGATTCATCGAAAAGAAAAGTATTTTTTGCTGCAAACGCGCATTCTCGGCAGCCTGTTATTTTCCAAAATAGATAAAAGATAAAATAGTGAAAATGAAGAGAAAGGCTTTTGTTCTTTACCTATGCACACGTTCTCGTCAACAAAGATGCCTTGTGGCCTGTCCGGTCCATTCCAGGTACTATACATGGATCCAGTAAACGAAGGCTTGGAGTAGTAGTAATTCATCGTTCTAGTTGATGCCAAGTGAGGCTGCGAAGCATCATACTTGGAACGCAAACGTTCATCGCTTAGAACTTGGTAGGCCTCGTTTAGCATGAGAGTCATTGCGTGGCCCTGGACAAGAAAGAAACTAAGAAAATCATCCATGAGGTTTCTAGTCTTCTTTTACCTTTGATCCCGAAATGTCTGGATGATGTTGCTTCTGGAGCTTTCTATACGCCTTGCGGATGGCTTCCATGCTGGAACCCGGAAGAACACCGAGAATTTCATAGTAATCTTGCTGATTTGTGCCGCTTCCAGTGTGTTCTTGCTTGCTAGCCGCGGCTTTGCACTGCCTAAAATCCCAATCCACTGAAAATCGGTCAGAAATCCAGAGAACATTTTACCTCGAGGCGGGAGAGACGAGCTTGCGCTGCTGGAGCTCCCACAGCATTGGCGATGGCGACCATTTCGATCCAGTGAGCACCATCGCCAGAACGAGAGAGACGAAAGCCTGAAAGTATCCTCAAATATCTTCCTCGCTTTCCACTTGTTTACTAGATTTTGACGGTAGTATTCAAACAAATCTAGACCGTTGGATTTATTTCAAAATTATGCTAAGAAGATTCGTTTTCCCGCTCCTCACGATAAACCCTAAGATGGACAGGAAACAAGCGCTCGGCTTCATACAATCTTGCAAAGATCTTCCCACTGCCAGGGAAATCGATCGCCAGATCAAGGAAGATCCTCTTCTCGCCCGGGATGCTTTCATCTCCAACAAGCTCATCGGGCTCTACGGGGCGTGTGGGAGCATCGCCCACGCGCGCAATATCTTCGACCGGATCGGTGCCCCGGACGTGGTGTCCTGGACGGCATTGCTCGGCGCGTATGCCCGAAACGGGCATATCGCTGAGGCTGCGCACGCCTTCGATCGGATGCCCCAGCACGATCTCGTCAGCTGCTCGTCGATGCTCGCGGCATTTGCCCGCGCCGGACGGATCGACGACGCCCAGATGCTATTCGTCTCTCGGATGCCACATTTGGATCTCGTCTCGTGGACGTCGCTCCTCGCAGCCATCGCCCAGCAGCGCAATCAATTCTTTGACGCCAAACAGCTCTTCGATTCCATGCCCGAGCACAATCTCGTGGCGGAGAATGTGATGCTCGCGGCGTACGCGGCATTGGGCGATGAGAGGAACGCAGAGATGTTCTTCCGGGCGATGGAGCTGCGCGATCTGTTCTCGTGGAGTTCTGTGCTGGAATTGTATGCCCGCCGTGGAAACCTGGAGAGAACGAAGAGGATATTCGATTCTATGCCCGAGAGGGACATAGCATGCCAGACAATTATGCTTACTGCATATGCCCAAAGCGGGCATTTAGAGCTTGCGCAAACTATACATCTTCAAATGCCTCAATGGAATCTGGTATCACTCAATGCAATGCTTTCCGCTTACGCTCACAACGGCTGTGTAGAGAAAGCAAAGATTCTTTTTTATAAAATGAAAGAATGGGATATTTTTTCGTGGACTGCTTTGCTATTGGCATATAGCACATCTGGGAAAATGCCAGAAGCTAAGAGAGTATTTGCTGAAATGCCACAGAAAAATGTTGTCTCCTGGAATATTATGTTTGCAATGATTTCTGAGGCTTGTACCAGTTTAATTGAAGCTCAGAGCTTTTTCAACTTAATGCCTAGACACGACCTCTTCTCGCTTAACTCGAATATTGCAGCATATATCCGAAATGGGCATATGTCTTTAGCACAGTTTGTGTTTGAGAATATGCCCCAGAAGAATATAGTTTCGTGGTCAACTTTGTTATCCGGATATTCGCAAGCGAGTGATGCGCAAATGGTAAGGAATCTTTTCGACGCTATGCCAGAGCACAACTCATTAGCCTCAAACATACTCCTTACAGCATATGCCAGACAAAGGTATATCCAGGAATCTAAAGCACTCTTTGACAAGATGCCACACAGGACTTTGGCATCTTGGAACTCGATGCTCTCCGCAATGCCCAGCGTTTCCCTGGCACGTCGGCTGTTCGATTCCTTTCCAGAGCGAGACCCGGTCTCCTGGAACACAATGCTAGCGATCTATGCATACAATGGCCATGCCAGTGAAACTCTACAAACTTTCAATCAGGGAAACACCGCAGAGGCTTGCGAGCAGGCTTGGTTCGTTCCGGTCCTCGTCGCATGCAGCCACATGGGAGGGGTATATTCCGCAGGATGCGTTTTCCGGTCAATGGTCTCGGACTTTGGCATTTTTCCTGCAAAGCCTCACTACTTGTGCGTGGTTGATGCTCTGGGAAGGGCCAATCGCCTGAGAGATGCCGAGGATCTTGTGGCGAATATGCCTTTTGTGCCAGATGCTCTGGACTGGACGTGCTTCCTGGGAGCCTGTAGAAGCCAGTTTAGTGTTGAGCTGGGAAAACTAGCAGCTGAGAATTTGATTGATCTAGATCCACAAGGCACTGAAGCTTACGTGCTAATCACCAACATATATTCGCTTGGCGCAAAAGAAATGGAGACTTGAACAAAACAAAAAGAGAAAAAACAAGAATTGCCGGGGCATTGCGAGAATCGAACTCGCGACCTCTCGCACCCAAAGCGAGAATCATACCACTAGACCAAATGCCCGACCTTGTGAAGTAAGCAAATATCGAACTTCTTCACCGATCTCTATAATGAAATCCCATTCTCTACCGGATCCAAATTTTATACTGCAATCGGGCTCCCTTTGGAGATGATAATGGCGAAGACAGTTGGTTATCACGAGATCCTCCGCATTTCCTCCCAACTTGTTGGAGCCCGGGACTCCATGATACTTTTCAGGTTCTCGATAGGCTTTCCCGCTGTCCAAAACTTCTCCACCGCAGTAGAAGAAACGGTGTGCAAGCTAGGCATCCGTGAAGCCCAGAGTCCCTACATTCCATCAACTCGTCCAGCGTCCATGCTTCCAGATGGCAGAGCGCGCCATGGTAGCGACTGCGACCCGGTTTACCACTAATATAAACTGCGTTTAAAAGTTCATTCTCATTCACTATTTCTAGCTTGTTGTCTAGCGTCTTTCTTGTTCAAATGGTGAGGAAGGTTTGCATATGCTGGCAGGGTCATCGAGAATTCAATGGCACAACATTGTGTGTGATTGATCGATTATGCTGAAGTGACAACTGATGAGAATTTGGTATATATGATTGAATTGGTAAGCTCAATGGCATGTTTGTGCTGTTTATGTGCTGCTGGAGCAAATCAAATATATATCTTCCCTTCCACAAAATTTGATTGCATGACTACAGTGGAGATGGTACTTAACTCAACACAGTTAATTTAATAATAAAATAATAAAATAGTATTCACGTTTAGGGGGCAAAAAATAATAAAATAGTGTTGATGTTTAGGGGGCAACCCTAATACCATATTAATCTTAATTGAAAGTTGAGGCAGATGGGAATTGAACCCAGCAACCCTACACAATAGAACATTACAGCATCCATGCTACAACCACAAAGCCATGAACACTGGGAGATA